ACAAGGAGACAAAGAGAAAGGAGTAGATTTCCTTAGGATACTGGTATCCCTATTTTCTAGTTCTCTATTAAAATTCCTTAGCAAAAAAAAAAAAAAAATGAAGAAACACTAAGGAGTGGGGAGAGAGACTAAACCTCCAGGATTCTGGAGAATGATTTTTCTTTGATAAATTATGTTTGATTTCTGTGAGCAATTTGGTCTTTGCACATTAAAAATTAAGAATATTATACAATTATGTTAGACTAACATGTATTTCCTAGAATAAACCTATTATTTGGAAATCATCTAAGTAAAATATATTTTAAATTTATATAGTTATTTTACAGTTTTTGTTAAGTTTATGTGGAATAACCCTGCATTTGTGATGACAGTTATATTTCTCCAGTGCATCTAAGGCTGTACGTTTATGTCAAATAATTTTCTTCATCCAAATTTATTATTTTTCTGTGTGGGGCATTTCTTTTCATTGGCTAGGACACAAATTCATTAAACCTCCACAATATTTCTATTACCATGACCACAAGTTGATGTTAAGTAAAATGTCTGCTTTTAGACAAGTCGTAGTAGCTATAAGTAAGTGGAACATGCCTGAAACTGTATGTTTGTTTAGATTATACTTGTTTTAGATTAGACAAGACTCTATTAGGAGAAGTTATAATTATAAAAAGGTTCCTAAAAATTGCATTTATATATATGAAATATTATTCTCTTACACATTATTGTACAAATTACTGTATTTTCTGACATAGCTGTACACGGACGCTTGGTATTTTTCTCAAAAAAATAGCCTAATTTAATAGCTCTTTAGCACTACCAAAGGACCTTTTTGATGCTATGCATATAGAGAACAAAGAAGCACAAAAGAAACCTTCCAAAATAAATCAACATTTGTGCCTTAAGTTTTAAGCTAGTATATAAGTAGTGAATGCATGTATTACTTCATTTTATTGCATGTGTATTGACCTTTATGTGGCTTTTTTATGTGAAGAATTATATGGTTAAGTCTAAACTTCAGAAATTCCATTGCATCAATGTCTTTTTCAATTTAAGATTAAATTTGTTATATAACTAAAGAGAATATTGTATGTTGAGTCCAACAACCTGGGTTTCTTTAGAACTTTGTGAGTTTTGGTTTCCCTTCTGAGATTATTAATTACTTCATAGAATTGAAGATTAAATAAATGATTTGAAATATTATAATGAATTTTATAAATGTAAGTAATAACCTATTGGTAAAAACTCACTTACCTTTGCTTACACATTTTCTTAAGTTTAAATGTTTGCCTTATATTTATATTAGGTTAGCATATCAACTTTGGAACTATTCAACAGATACGTGAGATTCTTCTTAACTATCGCTTTGTATATAAATTAACTAATTATGAAATATGCTATTTTCAAAATTTTCAAAGTTTTCAAATCGCAGCATCATTTAACGATTGGACAAGTAATTAAAAAGAAATAGCTTTCCTTATCTCTTTATGGTGTACTTCATAGAAATGCTGTTTTTCCAGTGCTTTCTTGACTTTAAAGATTACTTATATTCTTTTATATAAAAATTATTTACTTACAATTTTAAAATGCATGTTTTATTTGTAAAAGTAGGGTTTAATTTTGCTAAGCTTTCAAATTTCTCCTAAATAAGTTCTTGCAAATAAAAAACAAAGCAGAAAAGCCTTTAGGAAAAAAACCTTACCTTGGCATTCATTGCACATATTCATAGTTATGAGAATGCAGGTCATAAATAAATAGCCCACTTTCATTTTGTAGTTAGGGTTTTAAATTTCTCATCTAGTCAAATGAAAAATAATAGAAAATGGGAAAACTACTGTAATTTTTGTATTCTTGATGAATAATAAGTATTTGGTGTAGTAGCTCAGTAGTAAATTATTAGAAGAAGCAAATTGTGAAATAATATCATGTAATGGGTCAAAATTATTTATATAGTTACCACTATAAGGATCAAGCATGTGGGTTCTTATTAATATACCATTAGCCTGGTCACACAATGAAAGAGAACGAAAGGGCAATTTTGAATGACATTTCTATCAACTTGGGAACTGTCAACCTCTATTATGTCCTTGGGGCTTTGCACTTTTTGGCTTTCAGACATCTGTGCTGCCTTGAATGGAGGAGAATATTAAGAGTTCCAGTGGGTCTCTTGCTCTAATAAATGCTTTGGGTAGTCATTTTTCAGTACGTGCATGTAATAGTTCTTAGTGCTTAAAGCTAAGCATATGACATTTCATATGCTTCATATCCCATCAGCACCTACATCTGCATCATCTTCGTCAACACCATCATTCCCCCTACACGTACACACTCACGCTCTATTTCCTCTGTGCTCATAAATCTCTTCCCATGCGACTCTGGGAATATATTCCTTCCTCTCTTTTTTTCTGCACAGTCAAGTGAAACAACCACCTTAATTTCTCCAAGTCTCCCCTCAAAACTTTTGCAAGAGTTGTGAATACTGTCCAAGGAAGTTTTCAGGCTGTCATGACAAAAGCCAGTAATTTCATACAGAAAATAGTAAGCAGATACATCTGATAGAGGAAAAAGGGTCTAGAATATTTAAGGCTGCATAGTAAACAGTCAGTAAACCTCCTATCTGACTGGATATTTAGGCTGAATTAACAAGAAAATCTGGATCCTAATCTTTAGTGGCCTACTGAATGTCAGTAGCATTTAGTTTATTATGCATATGCATGTTTTCTTTTATTATTATTAGCATATGTTATGCTTTGTTAAAATTTTAAAGATTGAGATAACATTATGGTTTTTTTAAGGTTTATTTATCTGAGGGAGAGAGAGAGCTCATGGAGGAGCATGAGCCAGGGGGAGGGGCAGAAAAAGGGGGAGAAGGAGAGAAGCAGACGCTGAGCAGAACGGGACATGGGGCAAGGTCTCACGATCCATGAGATCATGACCAGAACCGAAATCAAGAGTCGGATGCTTAACCAACTGAGCCACCCAGGCACCCCAACATTATGTATTTTTTAATGCTATCTCCTTATATTGAGGAACCTTTTTTAAAAAGGTTTTGAAGCTTAATATATATATATTTCTTTTTTTTTAGTTTTTGTCCCTTTATATTGTATAAGGTGATGGCTCTCAAATGTTAATCTGTATCAGAATCATCTGGGAATGCTTGTTAAAATGGGTTGGCTAGAACCTCCAAAGTTTCTAGAATAGAGAATTTGATTTTCTAATAAGTTCCCAGGTGGTGCTGTTGGTTCTGATCCAAGGATCACATTTGTGAACTACCCATCCGTACTGCAGTATGGGGGGAAAAGGGCACAATACTTCTGGGTTTCTGTCAACCATTAACATCACATATAAGGATTATGGCTCACCAGCTCAACCAAATGTTCTAGACTAAAAGATCTAGGAATAATCTTGCCCCTGCAGTTTTTAAAATGCTAAAGTAAACTTTTCTTAATTGTATAGTGAACCAGTCATGGAATTAGCTTACCTTCCTTTCTTCCAAGACCATGAGTCCATATAAATTTGGTATGATAGTTACGAACTTACTACACATCTAATGTGATCCTAGATTACCATTTGAATTCTCATAGATTTTCAGATAGCTGTTCTTTTTTTCTGAAACAGAAAACAGAAAAAAAAAAGTGTTAAAGAGTAATTTCTTCTTGTTTGTTCATAAGTTTCCTAAGTGCAGCTAACCGTGGAATTTAATAACAATAAACCACTTTAAAAATATAAACTTTAAATAGATGTCATATTATGCCATTTTACCATTTTTATAAAGTGATTGATTTCAGTGGTTTTTGGTAGCTTTATATATAAAATTTTGTACACATTAATATATGTTTCCATGCCATCAGATCACACCATTTGAATCTAAATTGTTCCACTTTCAGCAAGTTATCCTGCTACTACCAATAGATATTTTATATTCTTAACTCATGAAGATAGAACAGTAGCTAAGTGGAAACTAAATTTTTATTCTACAATAATACTTTGTAAACTTGTAGATATTGTAAACAATAAGGTTTAGCATATGACATGATATTTTAATTTTAGAGCACAAAAAAGAAATTAATTTCTCTGTGATAAAAAAGTGAGATAATGTTTATATTATCTGATTCTAATAAATGATGTGGTAGAAACTTTAATGATAATTGTATACATAAATTTTATGTGTGAAATTACACAAGGGCTAATATAGAAAGGTATAAAATAGAATGTAAACTACATAAACTTGACCTATTCAACTAATGAACAATTCACCCTATGTGCTGAATTAACCACATAAAGATCTTCATACCACAATGTATTGATTGTGGTATACGTTGTAAGGAAAATCTGGAAAACAAATCTAAATTTAAAAACATAATGCTAAGTGTTTAGAACAATGTCGCATATAAATAAATAGTACATATTGGTATAATGTCGATTATGTTTATTTTCATTTTTAAATCAATTTCAAGACTGTTTCTGTGAAACCTAGGAGAAAAGATTATTTTCTAAGAAAGTTAGAAAGTTTCCTCCTTTTTTTTGTATTTAATTTAGAGAGGAGTTCTGATCAGAGGTACACACCATTTAATTCCTCCATCATGGATGTTCCAGGTACTCTGTCTAAGCACCAGGGTACAATGGTGCTTGGGATTCAACCCCTGTTCTTCGGAGGTTGAAAAAATCCTACCTACATCATAATTTTATATGAATTATGTAATTGTCTCTCAATAGAACTGAGTAGCACAAGGAATAGCTTAAGACTATTTCTTACAGATCACATCAGTTACATACTTTCTGGATAGTTGAGTGCACGTGTACTTATACTAAAGGTTTTTCATAATGTGTAGTTAAAAGTGACATTGTTGACAGCTAACCAAACATTGTAATGTACAGGTTGAATGTTAAGATCACTGATTGGTAGAGTAATTTTATGGGAAATGACAGGCTATATACCTGTGTTTTTCTAGGCATTTTTGATCAGCCTTGCCTTATCACAGCTCATGTTCTAATGATCATTGCAGGATGAAGTGGCACAGCCACTGAACCTATCAGCTAAACCCAAGACCTCTGATGGCAAATCACCCACATCACCCACCTCTCCCCATATGCCAGCTCTGAGAATAAACAGTGGGGCAGGCCCCCTCAAAGCCTCTGTCCCAGCAGCATTAGCTAGTCCTTCAGCCAGAGTTAGCACAATAGGTAAGTTCTGTTTCTTTTGTTCTTGCTGATTTTCTGTTTATGGCAATTGAATGAAATCATCTTTTAATGGCAAATCACGCATACCCTGTGCATGGTTTTAGTTCCGTAGGAGAGTTTCAATCTGATGAACCTCGTAGGTGTGTTTTAAACATGCAAATGAAATTTATAACTGAAGTCCAAGTTACAATGTCCCCCTGAAAAGCTAATTGAACTGGTTATGTTTGTTGATGTAACAGATGTTCTTAAGTTTATAAAAAAAGAGGCCTAAATGACTTAATCACAAAGAGCAGTGTTTCCAGAATGTTGTTGTTAGGTGACTTGCCTTTCCCATTACTGAAATATATTTTCGTGTTTTGTGATGTGTACAAACTATACATAATGATAAAATACATTCTACTTAGATCAGCAGTCACCCATCAGGATATGAAGTTTGTTCAGTTCCATACTGCTTGAGATTTACTTGAATACACCGAAGTATAAAAATTACGTAGCTTCATTTCTCCATAATTGTCATTTTGGTAAAGTAAACACTAGAAAATGCTTCTATAAGCTAACTTTTTAAAAATTCCAGTAATTTTTACTTCAGTAACACATAAATTAGACTGTAAACACTTACTTCAACCTACATTTATTGATATGTTCATCATTTGCGTAGAGTTATAAGGAGGCTAGCACCGACAAGCCTTCAAGGAGCTCAGGGTTTAGTTAGGGGAAAAGTCATCCCTCTTATAGTACTAGTCAGCCATAGGAAGTGCTATTTCAGAGCATAGATACAACCTTGTAATCAAAAAGAAGAGTGTTGGATTCTATTTGGGAAGGATCAAGGAAGGCCAAGTTGGGGATAGCCTAATTCAAGTGGAGTCTTGAGGAAAAGAGACATTCCTCCGCATTTTAGCCTTTAAGAAAAAAACCCAGAGTAAAATAGCATGTTTTTGAGAAATGCACTGATTTGGCTAGAATATAGAATGAATGTGTAGTGAAAAGTGATCAGGGCTAAAACTGAAAGGAGCAGATGGAATCTGGCTGAATGCTATCCTAAGAAATTTTGACTTTTTCTCCAGACAGCAATCTGATCAGAACTTTAAGAAAGAAGAGTATTGGCAGCAGGAAGAGATAGGAATCAGGGAAACCATTGTTTTAGTGTAGGACAAGAGTTAGTTCCATGAAATAGAAATAAGCAATGATAAAACAAAGGAAGGAATAGATTGAAGAGATATTAGTAAAGAAGACTTGATATAACCTATCCTCAATAGAGACTACCTGGTGAAGTTCAAGTTGGAGACAGAGGAGTCTAGGATTTTGAATTCATAAAATAAAAAGGATAATACCTCCCTTAACTGCGGAAGAGAGGACCAGAGTGGAAGCAGATTTGGAAGACATAAATATAAAAATGTAGTAAGCATTGAAACACAAGGAGCAATTTCGGTAGAGATATTCAGGAGGAAACTATAAACATAAGTCTGATATGTAAAAGGGTGCTAGCATTTTAGATGTAGAATTATATATGATATAAGGGGATTAAGAGTACACTTATCACAATGAGCACAGAGTAATGTATAGAATTATTAAATCACTATATTGAAACTAAGTATAGAATTATTAAACCACCATATTGAAACTAATATGACACTCTATGTTAGCTATACTAGAATTAAAAGAAAGAAAATGAAAAGATATATGCACCTCTAGAAAAAAAGGAAATTCAGCAAAAAAGAGTGTGTATAGTAAGAAAAGAAGTGGGATAAAGAATCATAGGTATTACCTACTGTATTAGTTATCTATTACTGCATAACAAATTAACCTAAAATTCAGGAGCTTAAAATAACCAACATTTATTATCTCGGTTTCTAAGGGTCAGAATATGGAAGCAGCTTAGCTGGGTAGTTCCGGTGTAGGGCCTTATGATTGTAATCAGTGTGTTAGGCAGGGCTGTAGTCCTCTATGGACTTTATTAGGGATAGATGCTCTTGTTCAAGATGTCTCACTCACATGGTTGTTGGCTAGAGGGTCAATTCTTTGCCTTGTGAGTCTTTCCATAGGGTTGCTCCTTGCATGGAAACTAACTTTCCCAAGAGTGGGTGCTCTAAGAGGGTAAGCAAAGAGAAAGCCACAGTGCCTTTTATGACCTAGTCTTGAAAGTCACACAGAGTCCAGTCTGCTTTACTCTCTTCATTGTAAGAGAATCACAAGTGCAGCCCAACTCAAGGGAAGGAGAATATCAAAGTATCGTTGGGCACATTTTAAAACCAGCACACTTTTTTAGGGGGAAAACTGATAAAGAACAAGTGACTGTGTTAGAATAAGAATGAAGATAGGGCAGTGTCATGCTAGCCTAGGAAAAATGAAAGTTTCAAAAAATAAGGGGTTATTTAATGGTGTCCCATTTGGCAGAAAAGTTAAAAAAAAAAAAGAAAAAGGAAAAGAAAAGCCTTATGATTTAGCTGGAGCTCATGGAGAGGTAAACTCTGATAGAGAAGTTTTATGAGAATGCCTTAACAGAATTTCAATCACAATGGTTTGAAGACTATGAGGAGAGAAAATGCAGTTGATCTTTTTTGTAAGCTTGGTGTTGAGAAGTGATTATTTTAAAAGGACTACATAGAGAGAGGTTTTAAAATAGGGCAATCATTCATATATATATATGGCTATATATATATGTACATATATATAGTCAAAGGGAAGAAGAGTCAGAGACAGATAAAGATATGAAAGAGAGGATGGACGATGATGGAATAAGACAAGAGATCATGAGAAAGGATTAACCTTGGAAAGGAACAAAGCCCCTCTTTTTTCTGAGACTGAACAAAACAAAGGGAAAAAAGGGGTAAAGTTACAGAGAAATTGTGGGATGGACAAAAAAAAAAAAAAAAAAGCTGAAGGAATGTATTTCAAATGCTTCAGTCTCCACAGAGCAGAATTCCAGATTATTTGCCAAGAGGAAGCCAGTCTGAGGCAGTGGGACAGCAGTGAGAGCAGACAGTGTGAAAACTTAAGTTTTGAGAAGTTTGAACAAGGTTGGGGTACACATCCGCTTTTTATCACTATGCACCACTCTGTTATGGCCTAACCCAGTTACTCCCCTCCACATCCTAAATGGACTTCAAGATAAAACTTGCTTTCATGTCCTAAGTATGTAAAAGAAAAAATATTTTGTTTGGCAGGAATGACTCACTTACAAAATAGACATGAAGGCTCATAAATGTCACAGTGCTGGTCTATGAGCTACTTTTGTAATGTCACCAGAACTAGAATATTTAACAAAATAAGGGATAGATTTGCATTTTTATCATATGAGAATTTTTTACTTCAGCATTCCAGGGATTAAGTATGACAAAATATTTTAGAAAGGCAAAAATGTATTTAATGACATTTATCATCTGACTTTCTCTACTACTAAAACTTCCCTTAGTTTTTTTTTTTTTCCCCTGAAAAATCCCTTCACCACATACCCATCCACACATCCCTCATAGTTTCCAAGAACTTGAGGCCTCTACGATTTACTTTTCTCTTTTCAGCAAATGCAGATGTTGAAAGCTGAAACTGTAATGAGTAATAATGTAGTTGGATAAAAGCTGTGCGCATTAATGGTGTTGTAAAGGTCACCCCTGAAAGAAGAATTAATGTGTTATGCCATTAATAAACCAGGGAAAACTGTGAACCAAAAAATAACTTAAGTTATCGTTAATGAAATGGGCTCTTTGCTATATATCTATTAGCTACAAATATAGAAAGTGAGTTTTTGAGGTGGGTGACCAGTATTACACTGTATTCTGTAAGAATGCCTTTGATATGGTATGCAAAGGATTGGATGCGCCAAAAGAAAGGGAATCCTTAAAAGGTATGAATAGTTCAGAAGAATGATGGATAAGTTTAGAATCTTCTGACCGAATGTTATCTTCCTATCATTGGCCTTTTTCACCTATATTGTACATATGTATAGTACCTTTAACATTTTTCAAAGCATTTTTAATCTCTTTCTCACTGAAGCTAATTTTAGAATTATAGACCCTAAAATAGATAGAGCAGGTATTCCTATTATCCAGTCAAAACTTGTTATTTTACAGATAAGGAATTGGGGCCTAAGGAGGCTAAGTGCTTACCCAGGGATTCTAAGTAAGTTCCCGACACAGGGTAGACAGTTCTGTGACTCTATGTTTATTTCCTCTGTTTTAATTTCAAGGAAACGACTATATGAAGACCTAGTAACTTGCTCAAACTCACAGCCAGGGGTGGTTGAGGCCAGAGGATTCGTAGTCTCTGGTTGGCATGCTCCCTTTTCAGCTACTGCCTGTTGGTAGGCTTGCCACGTTAGATGCTCTTCTCAGTCATTTATCTAGCCTTTCACTCATTCACTGAATAAATGGGTATTAAATATCTTCCCTATGCCATAGATTTTGCAGGATGGTGAGCAGATGGAAGTCTGGAGGATGAGCAGATGAACGTCTTGGGCAGAGGCTTTAGATAGCCTCCAGTCTTGTTCTATAAAGTCTTTGGAAGATACTAGAATGTATTATCCTTACCCATTATTCTTCAGAGGCATTAACACATGAAAAGTAAAACTTTAGTGAGCAAATGTAGTAGGCTCACATTGATTCAATAGAATGAGGGAAAATATTTTCCAGTTCATTAATTTGGTACTTTATTTCTACAACTTGCTAATTTAAAATACAATGGCATGAAGGAGGATATTACCTTGATGTTTCCTTAGTTTACAATTTTAATCAGAAAAATTTCTATGAGTAGGTTATTGAACAAAAATACTGTAATAGTTTCATAGAAAGCTAGTGGATTATCAAGAAGTTGAGGGTATTATTCAACATCTGGCAATTAACATTTGCATAGCACTTTACAATTTACAAATTGCTTTCACATTTATAATCTAATTAATTCTTGGGAGTTTTCACAGATGAAGAAATGGCTACATATCAGGGTGCCAAAAACTTGATGATGATAAGTGACCTCAACAATAGAAAAAAATCAGTATTTGTTGAAAATAACTT